GACACCCCTGCACCTTCAGACAGCAGGGGACCTCCTGTGCCGGGACCCCCCACCCCCCCTCCCACAGTCCCAGCCCCACAGGGACCCCTGCACCCACCGACCTGTTTGAGCAGCGTCAGGAGGTCCAGCTCGCCCTTGAGGCTGTAGCCCGGCAACACCGCATCAAACTGCTTCAGCCAGTCATCGGAGCTGCTGTCCGGCACCTTCCCGGCCAGCGCCGCTTTGTCCTTGCTGCCAAGCACCCCTGCGGGAGAGACGGACCGTTACAGAGATGCAAGACACCCGGCACGGGGTGCCCACGGGGCTGAGGGCGACGCACAGGGCGGACGCTCACCAGCCATGTCCGTCTCCACCTTCTTGGCCTCGACCATGGCCCCTCGCATGGGGCTGTCTGGGAACAGCACCTCGTAGGAGCTGGGGATCTTCACGCTCAGCAGTTCGGCCATGGCCACCATCACCCCATTGAGGTTCTGGGTGAGAGGAGGCAGGACTCCGTTAGGGGCAGAGACAGGGTCCCCAGGGTAGTAGCTGCGGCTGTGCAGAGACCCCAGTGCCAGGTCCTGCCTCGCACCATCCCCTGACTCACCTTGGCAGCCGCTGCAGACACCGTCAGCATGACGGAGACCTCGCTGCTCTTGGCCTTCTCCCACGGGGTGCCCGGGCCTGCCGCCCCCACCTTCCCGGCGGGTGCTCCAAAGGGCTCCGCGGCCTCGTAGGGCTTTGTGTCAGGGAACACTGGTGCGGGGTGAAAGGGGTCAGAGACGGGCAGCACCGGCCCTGCCAACGGCTGCCCCGGACCCCTGTGGGCTCTGGCATGGAGACCCTGCTGGGAATTCACTGCTTTGCAAGACCAGAGCTTTCTGGTGCAGCGTGAGAGACTAGGACGTGCTGACAAGGATGGAGAGCTGTCAGCACCAACGGGAGACCCCAAGGAACAGCCCAGCCCAGCCCCGACACATGGGGACCCGTGCTGGACTCAGCCGCCCAGCTTGCGCGTCCCACAGACCTCTACGCTCAGTCCGCGTAGCCCTAAGGATCCTCCCCTACTTGATCCTGCAGACACCTCCTGCATGGTCCATACACCCCTTCCTACCTGATCTGCCTGCCCCGCAAACCTCCTGCTGCCCGGTCTGTAACCCCCGTGGGTTCCCCCAACCTGGTCCGCAGGCACCGCAGACCCTCCTGCCCCTCCTTGCCCCTGCATGGCCTGTGCACCCCATAGGCCCCCTCCTGCCCAGCCCACGTGCCCCACAGACGGCCCTCGCCCGGTGTAGCCCACCTGGGATGCTGGCCCGGGGGATGATGGGGATTATGGGCGACAGCACACGCTCCTCCAGCTCCGGCTTGGCCTCACTGAGCAGGGGGAAGCGGAGCAGCTCCTCGCCCAGCACGCTCTCCGGCGACGAGGCGGGCACGATGCTGTCGGGCGAGTCGCTCTCGTCGTCGCTCTCCATCCTGCGGGGAGGGAG